GCGGTGGGGTTTTTTTTTTTTTTAAGAATTATTTTATTTAACTTTATTTATTATTATTATTGTAATATTTCCAGAGACAAAGAGAAAGAGAGGGAAAGTGAGAAAGTAAACCTCCAGGTCTGAGACTTGAACCACAATCAGCCATGTGAAATTCCAGCACCCTTAACCACCATGCCACCTGCCAGCCCCGAACTGGCAGTAGTTTTAAATGGTATATAAAATAATCATGTTTCTTACAGTAAGTAGCATCTTGGAATGGTCTCATACCTTAAATGCCTTTTTACCATCTTCTTTAAAATAAAGTTCACAGGTATGTAAGTTATACAAATTTCTGTGCTATAAAATAGCACAACTTGAAACTTGAGAGTGATCATCTGAAAAGAAAACTTAAATAGCCTTAAGAGAAAAGATTGAAATGCCCAAAGAATTTCTTTTCAATGCACAATTGTTTCACACTCTAAATAAAGCCCGTTAAGATTAGGAGGTCTTGTTGGGACCAGCAGTTAGCATAATGGCTATGTCACTGGACTCCCACGTAGTTGACTGTGGTTCAAGTCCTGGACCCAGTGGCTTAAACTCAAGCCGGACGCGTGTGCGTGTGTGCCCAAGATCCCGAGAGGAGAATGGAGGAGAAGGGATTGCGGTGTGGCCATCCCCCTGGGGGGTGATTTCTCGCTTTCTGTCTCTCTGTCTGTCTGGTGAGCGCACGCGCCCTATAGCAAAAACGTCTCCCCCCCCCATAAAAAAAAGATTAGGAAGTCTTGTGTGACTTTGGGAGTCCACACAACGTCTGTGAGGAGTGGGACAGTCTCTGTCCTGGCAGATTTGTTCTTTGCTTTCGGACCAGAGTCCTCCACTGTAAACATGCTCCGCCTGATCCTGCGCCAGGCCAAGAAGCATCTGTTTTGATTCTCCTGTTTATATTTACTGGAACTGGAGGTCCTGTAACAGCACTATATCTCATGTGTTTGGCAGTGTTCAATCTAAATGTCTCTTGGGACAGAAACAATAACCCTGAACGCTAGAACAAGCTGGGTCCCCATGATCAGTACAAGTTTTACTCAGTGGATATGGATTACAGCAGAGTGAAGAAAGAAGAGCCAGACTTCTAAATGAAATGTTCCACTATAAAGCTGCTTATAAATGAAGGTCTTCCAAAAGCCATCCACACAGTTTTCCACTTAACCAGGAGATATTTCTCCTCTAAATACATGAAATCATTTTTTTTTTTTAAACCTCGGGGGGGAGCCCAGTGGTTTTTACTTTTTTTTTTTTTTTTTTTGGAGAGGTTTTCGCTATAGGGCGCGTGCGCTCGCCAGACAGACAGAGACATAGAGACAGAAAGCGAGAAATCACCCCCCAGGGGGGATGGTCACGCCGCAATCCCTTCTCCTCCATTCTCCTCTCGGGATCTCGGGATCTTGGGCACGCACGCACACACGCCCGGCGTGAGATTTAAGCCACCGGGTCCGAGACGCGAACCGCAGTCGACTACGTGGGAGTCCAGCAACATAGCCATTACGCTAACTGCTGGTTCCCGATACATGAAATCATTTCGATGTGTTGAGATTTACACTGGTTAATAAATATCTGAAGCTTGTGGGGGGGGGAACCTGTTAAGATTAACTATTTAAAACTTTTCTAAAAAAAGATGGGGGCAGCAAGTGGCGTGATGGTTAAAGGCACTGGATTCCCACATGGCTAACTTCAGTTCTCGTCCCGGACTTGGCGGCATGCTTTCTTGCTTTCCCTTTCTCTCTCTCTGGAAATGTTAAAATAGTAATAATAAGTAAAGTTAAATAAAATAATTCTTTTAAAAAATGATGTCAAGGAAGGGCTGGCAGGTAGCATGGTGTTAGGATGATGAACTCCCACATTGCTGACTGTGGTTTGAGTCCCAGATCTAGTGGCTTGCTTTTTCTCTT